CCTCCCAAGTAGCTGGGAGTACAGACATGTGCCACCACGCCTGGCTAATTTTGTATTTTTAGTAGAGACAGCATTTCTCCATGTTGGTCAGGCTGGTCTCGAACTCCCAACCTCAGGTGATCCACCCGCCTCGGCCTCCCAAAGTGCTGAGATTACAGGCGTGAGCCACCATGCTCGGCCCTTTAGAGCTTAGATTCTTACACTGACTCCATGAATGTACTTTAGAGGATCTCTTAAACCATCTGAAAGTATATGTGTGCATATGTGAATTATCTCTGGAGAAAAGTATCTATAGTTTTCAGCACATTATCTAAGGAATCACAAAATATAAAAGAACTTTATTACAGAATTTATAGAATTGTAATTTCAGTGAAATTTTAGAAAACAGGATTTAATACAATTACAGAATGGTGTTTCTCTACTTTTAAAAAAATCCAAGCTATGCTTTTATATACTATACATATATATACATAATTACCCCTGACAGAAATCACCACCTTCCACTCTTAATTCCGATAAATTCCCTTAAGGGAAGCATCAAAGCTCTCCTCTCCCTATCTATTCAGGTTGATAGTCAGCTTTGAAGGTCTCCTAGAGTACGCAGAAGCAGACTTTAAAGCCCAAAACTTGCCAAAGGCATAGCCTAATAGAAAAATTCTATCCCATAAACCTGGCACCCCAAAAAGATTATGCCCACAGGTAAGAATGAATCAGAAGGTAGTCATCGCCATAGGATCCACTCCCCACCTCAACTCAAAACACAAAAACAAAAATTGTCTTGGTACTAAAATTGAGGATTGTCTATTGTGAGAAGCTGTAACCATGAGCTCTCATTCAAACCTCAGCCCAAATTTACATCACCTGAATGGTTCAAAAAGCTTCAAGCCATAAATGATATATTTTCAAATGATAATCCTCTACAGAAAACAAAGACAATTTTTCTAGGCCACAAATAACTTTCCGAAATAAGCTCCCAAGGAAAGTAATCTTCTCAATGTCAAAAATAACCAAGCATACAAGGAAATAAGGCATCATAAATAATAAGAGAAAAGACCCACCAAGGATTAAAACATTGGATTATAAGAATTAGGCTGGATGTGGTGACTCCAGCCTATAATACCAGAACTTTGGGAGGCCGAGGTGGGTGGATCACCTAGAGTCAGGAGTTCAAGACCAGCCTGGTCTCTACTAAAAATACCAAAATTTAGCCAGCATGGTGGTGGGCATCTGTAATCCCAGCTACTCAGGAGGTTGAGACAGGAGAATCTGCTTAAACCCAGGAGGTAGAGGTTGCAGTGAGCCAAGATCTCACCACTGTACTCCAGCCTGGGAGACAGAGTGAGACTCTGTCTCAAAAAAAAAAAAAACACAAAAGAAAATTGACATTCTTAA